TCACTCTTACTAGCTTCACAGGTCACTCCACACTCACAGGCCAGGGGGAGTAGTGCATATCTGCAATCCAAAGACTCCCAAAGCAGAGACACACATTTAAAGCCAGCTTCACCCATGGAGCTAGTCTCAAGCAGCCAGGGCTACATAACAAAACCCTGTTTCAAGAAACATGTGTAAAATAAAGGAAGGAAGGAAGGAAGGAAGGAAGGAAGGAAGGAAGGAAGGAAGGAAGGAAGGAAGGAAGGAAGGAACGAAGGAAGGAAGGAAGGAAGGAAGGAAAAAAGGAAAAGAAACATGTAGACCCCCAAACTTCTTAGTCGAGGCTAGAATGGTAGTTACTGAGAGTCAAGAAGACTAGCAGGAGAGGAAAAGGATAGAGAGAGGTTAGTGAATGGGGGCATAGTTACATTTAAGTAGGGCAAGAAGTCCTGGTGGTCTATTATACAGTAGAGTGGTTATGGTTAACAATAATAGTTACTGCACTTCTAAAAGAATTCAGAAAGACTTTACCAAAAAGAAATGGTATTTGGGGTCTGGAGAGATGGCTCAGAGTTTAAGAGCACTGGTTGTTCTTCCAGAGGTCCTGAGTTTAATTCCCAGCAACCACATGGTGGCTCACAACCATCTATAATGAGATCTGGTGCCCTCTTCTGGCACGCATGTGTACATGCAGGCAGAACACTGTACATAGTAAACAGTAAATAAATCTTTATTAAAAAATGGTATTTGAAGAGAAATATTTATCATGACTCAAAATTATAAAATACATACATGTATTTAAGCAATAATGATACCCCACTAATATATATCTTTTCTATGATTTTCTACATCAGTTTAAAACAGAGTAGGGGCTGGAGAGATGGCACAGCCATTAAGAACACTGGTTGCTCTTGCAGGATAGGGGTTTGGTTTCCAGTACTCACAAGGTGGATGCCTTCTCACATCTGTGAGCATCAGGTATGCATGTGGTGCACACAGCAGGCAAAACACTCATACATATAAAATAATAACTCTCTAAAACAAAATTTTAAAATAGTGTAAATGAGAAGTTCCATTGAACCTCTGAAAAGCTCACTGATTAGAGCGTCAGTGACAGGGAAGGTTGGAAGGTTACATGTTCAGAGTCAAATTACCTGGTATTTATGGTATTATGTCTTAAGAGCGTATGTTTCTTGATTATTTAAGATGTCCTATAGTACCGTTAGCCAGGATTAAAATTGTTACTTTTTGTTCTTTCAAAACAGGGTCTCTCTGTGTAGTCCTGGTTGTCCTGGAACAGATCTTCCTGCTTCTGCCTCCCGAGTGCTGGGATTAAAGGAATGCACCACCACCAGCTGGAACAAATATTGTTATTTTTAAAATATTGCTTTTCTTCATATTTTACTCCTAAAAATGTTAGCGAGATAGCTCAGCAGGAAAAAGCACTTGCTACCAAACTAGTGACCTCAGTTCAATCCCCCAAGGCTCATACAATAGAGAAAACAAACTTTTCTAGACTGTCTTCTGACTTCCTCATACACACAAATAAAATGTAATTAAAAGGCAAAAAGTTAAAATAAAAAGAACAATATCAGAGTGACTCTAATTTCCCTTTCTGACTAGTAAGATTTCATTATGCCTCTACAGCCTGTCAAATTCTGATTTCTAGCAGGTCTGACCTCTAGCTTTGATCAGTGTCATTAGTAATATTTGGCACATAGAAAAAGACAATTTTGTTAATTTGTTGTTGTTGTTTGGTTTTTTAAAACAGGGTTTCTCTGTGTAGCCTGGCTGTCCTGAACTCACTAGGTAGACCAGTCTGGCCGCAAACTCAGAAAGATCTCTTACTGCTGGGATTAAATGTGTGTGAAACCACAGATCTCTGGGAGTTCAAGGACTGCCTGGTCTACAGAGTTTTAAGACAGCCATGGCTACACACAGAGAAACCCTGTCTTGAAAAACAAGAGTTCTAAGTTATAATAATCTAGATACCAAAGACCAAACTTTACAAAGAATTAGATCTAACCACTCCACATGAGGTTATACAGAATCAAATTCACTTAAAATAACCAAAGCACTAATATTAAAAGAGAATAGTTTGTTTACATACTTCAAATGTAAAATAAAATGAAAAACACAAAAACTGTACATACAGAGATAGCTAATCTAGCTTTCAACAATGTAACTTCAGTTGGTTACCTTTCCCTCATCTGCTCCCTTCTTCATGGCGTGAAGTGGTCTTGATTTTTAATTTTAGGCTTATTACTCCTGTTATATTACATTGCATCACAGTCAGAAAGAAAGTAAATGAACAAGTCAGACTGGGACCCTATTGGCTAATAGAGTTTGAAGATAGGATCCAAGAGTTTCTTCCTTGATGGCTTTAAAAGCTATTTATCTTGCTAGGCGGTGGTAGTGGGCACCTTTAATCCCAACAGAGAGAGGCAGGTGGATCTCTGTGAGTTCGAGGCCAGCCTGGTCTACAGAGGGAGATCCGGGACAGCTAAAGCTACAGAGAAATCTTGTCTTGAAAAACAAACAAACAAACAAACAAACAAACAAGCTACTTATCTCTCCTGAAAACTGCTCTCTTGCCTACTACTCAGCCCCATCTACATCAGATCCTAGGACTGAATGACATTGACATATTACTATTTAATAAGTAACATGTGGTCTTCACATACACAAATGTGATGAATGGAGAACACAACTGTGAATGAAACTTTCTGGAAAGAACTCCACCTTATATTGAACCTCCAAAAAGGTTGGTTAACCTGTAAGAACATCACTGAGCTTAGAGATTGGAACGTTACAAGCCTGAAGCCTAATTACAATTTTCTTTGGGCTATCTTTAGCGTCCTAATAAGACATACTTGCCCATCTCTATGTTTAACCTGCCAGCCTGTGACTAACAGGAACCTTTCCAAAGGTATTAGCTTGACAGACCACCTGCTTCCACCAACCCAAGGCTAAGAGTGTTGTCAAACAGCATCGAAAGACAACAGCTGGGATTTCCCTACTTTGTTGGACTGTGCCTACCAGATGTTTCTACCAGAGTATTGGAAAAACGACTCAATGATGACTTTCTTTGCTCTGTTACTATGAAAACTCTGAAACTGTTACCAGGTTAGACCATGGAATCTGCAATAACTGGAATCTGTACTTCCAGGCCACATTCACTAGCACTTGCCCCCAGAATAAACTCTAATCCCCACTGAACGATTTTTGTGTCAACAATATATTTAAATTACTTTTTATAAGCCCCACTTTACTGTATTAAATACTTAGGAAGAGATTCCTGATTGTCCATTGCGAGTGATAAATTAGCTAAATAAGTAGACAAAAGTTCCAGACATTTACCTGCGATCCAAACCTTCACATCTGCACGGGGCTTACGATCTTAACTGATCTGCCTCCTTCCACTGCCATAGCCTCCATTTCACCTAAAGTGAACACTCAACCAATTGCTAGTGTATACTCATAGTGAGAATAATGAGCGGTTTCCTCAGTCGAGAATCCAAACTTCTCTGTCCGCCACAGCCTCTATCTTCTCACCTAACCTAGTCTTGGCAAAAGCATTCTCCATGCCCCTTATTTGCTAACCTGGATTTCTCTGAACAGAAATGAGTACTTTCCTTCCTGTTCACATTCAATTTCCAACCATACTCATGGCTCACTTAAAAAATAAGTTATTCTCTAAAATTTCATCATCAGATCTCTCCAAAACCTGAAAGAGATCCCAAATTAGTAACTGATAGGCAACAGGTGACTTTTATCTGAAAAACACTTAAAAGCTGAGATGCAAACCAGGTGTGGTGGCACGTGGAAGGCAGAGACAGTTGGATCTGAGTTTGAAGCCAGCCTGATCTACAAAGTGAGTTCGAGGACAGCCAGGGCTACACCAAGAAATCCTCAAACCCTGTGGGGCGTTGAAGGAGTGAGGTATAGTTTTGTTTTTGGTTTTCTGTTTTTTTTTTTTCCTTGATTTTTCGAGACAGGGTTTCTCTGTGTAACAGTCCTGGCTGTCCTCAAACTCTTTGTCGACCAGGCGAGCCTCAAACTCACAGAGATTCACCTGCCCTTGCCTCCCAAGTGCCACCACCTCCTGGTGAGGTATAGGGTTTTTGTTAATAGTATTTGAGCTGGGTGTCGTGCACACCTTGAATCAGCTGGGAGGCAGAAGCAGGCAGATCTCTGTTGAATTTGAGACCAGCCACCCCCCAGCACACAACCAATTCCTGCTACTTACATATTCATTAATCAACTACCTTAACCTCTGAAACTACAAAAAGCTGCATTCCAAAGATAAGCAAAACAAACACACCCTCCCCCCTCCCCCAGCTTAATTGTCTTGAGTGTCAAGACAAAAGACACAAACAATTAGGAAACAAAATGTCTTGTGCTAGGAGGGAACTCAGAAGGCACTTAGAGAATCCTACCAAACTCTAGGAAGTTAGGTAAGGACTACACAAAAATACAGCGCTGCTAAGCCTGAGGAAGGGCAGCAACCAGAACACCGGTGGACTCAGGCAGAACAGGATCACCTGGACAGCTTAAAAAAAAAAGGGGAGGGGGTTATATTAATAAGGTAGAAGTGAGCAGAGAAATCATAGGACCAAAAGGAAGAATGAGGACTCAGCAAGACATTGGAGGGAGGGGAAAGAATTCAAAGGAAATGCAATCAATTTGGTATAGATGGAGCAACAGCCAATCTTAAAACACAGGCGTCAGAGAAAGAGCTCAATTTGAAGGCGAAAGCTACACTTTAAGGTCAGAAAATGAAACACAATTTCGAAACAAGGCTAAATGTGTAAGGGTTTGATAAGCAGACAAAAAAAAAAACAAAAACAAAAAAAAACCCAAGAATTAAAAAAAAAAAAAAACCCAACCCGATTACAGGGAGCACAGAGACGGTGTGCTCAGGGGTGAACTGAGTTAGAAGCAGTGATACCCCGAATCCAGGGAGGGGAAGCACAAAACAGCACGGAGGTGACAATGTATAGAAGACCAAAGGGGCTTACATCTTGGGCGATAACCAAGCACAACCGGGATGTGAAGCATGGTAGTTTTGGCTGGCCACAAGTTTGCCAAGAGAATTAGTCCCAGTGGTCCCTTGGCGGACGCCAAGGCATTAATGCCTCTCAAAATTCAGCTGCGCCCTGGGTGGATTGCACTTCGTCCCTCCGCTTCAGTCAGGATTGATTGTGCAGGCTCCAGGACAGGCTCTGGGCTCCGGGCTGCTGACACGCAGGTTCCCAGGGGGTAGTTACAGGCCTGGTCTGTATGTGCTGGTGGGTAGAAGTTAAGTATAAACTACCACGCATTGTTTTCTAATTTCTCTGTAGAAATGAACGGCCTATGTCGACCTCTTAAAGAATAATCATCAGTGCGTGCCCATTCCCTATTTACAGGGGGGGGGGGGGAAGAAAGGTGCCAAGAAGCTCAACATCTGTCCAGGCCAGCACTCAAGAAAGGGTCATTCTGTCAATCCAACTCTCCTCACGTTGGCTTTGTCTCCCCAGCCCCATTGAGATTCTCAACAGCAAGTGGGCTGTTTTCGCACTTTTTCTCAGTCTCTGAAAGTGCCTACTAAAGATCTGGTGATGTCCAAAAATGAAAACCACAGACTTCCTGACAGACCTCGAGCCGCTGAAGTTACCTAGCTCCGTATTCCTCTTTGCATATTAAACTGCTACCAAGAAGCCGAACCTGTGTCTTACACTCAAGACTTTGCTTTCCGCCCCAGTCCACTGAGTCTCTCCAGGCTCCACCACGAGCGCAGGATCATGCAGACCTCCAACGCGGCAGGAAACGCCGGCCCGGCCACCCGCCCGCCGCATGCGCCCCTCGCGCCTCTGGGGAGAGCAACTCACTCACCTACGTTCTCCGGCTGCGGCTGCAACCCGCGAAGGCAGACGTCCGCTTCCCCAGAAGGAACTTCCGGCGCGGGCGATGACGTCGCCGGGCGCGCCGAGCCCGGGTCCGCGGTCGCCCCGGTTTCGGTGTTCCCGGCCAGGCGCTGCTCCGCGCTGTAGCCGCGGATGCTTGCGCGGCAGAGAGTCACTAGGCTTGAGGCCGCCGCGGACTCGCTGCCAGCTCCGCTCCCGGCTGTTACGCTGAAGGTAAGCGCCCACGCCACGGCCCCGCGACCCCGGCGGCCCCGGCCCCGGCCCCGAGGACGTCCAGCCTGCATCGCGGTTCTCCCACCTGAGAAACTTGAAAAGTGACCAGCAGGTGTTGGCTACCTGAGGCTTTCTAGATAATGCCCTCAAACGCTGGGCGTGAAGCTCTCTTCCGGTTAATGCGTCCATTGTCATTCCTAAAGCAGATAACTTTGTTATTCCAGGCACTCGGTAAGCGTGCCGACATCTGCGCATTTTAAATCAGAATGTTGAATTCATTTAGGTTTCTAATATAATTTTCCCTGGCCGTTTGCAGAGTTGTGAGCACTGAAATTGACTACTGAGCATGCTTATAAATATACAGGTTAAGGTCCGTTCAAAGCACGTAATTCATATAATAATGTCATTTCATAAAATGGTTAGGCACCAAATTAAAAATGCCAAAGAAAGTTATCAGAATATGAAGCTAAACTTCCCGCGGAAAATCACTCGGGAGAAAAATAAGAAAATAAAAACAAGTACCCAAAGTTAACAAAAATGTGACTGGCGTGGTGGCCAGCACCTGTAATACGTCTATTTCAGACATAGATGCAGGAGGTTAGGGAGTTAAAAAAACAAGAACAAAAAGGAGGAATTGGCAGGTATCCCTTTCAGAGGTGGGCGGGGAAGCTATGGCGAATACTTGGAAAGCATCTTTTTGCTTTTACCCTAAAAAGACGTAAAAAATAGCCGTGTGGCTTCTCCAGCTCTTTAAACCGTCCTCTCCACCGCAGTGCAGCACTAAAAGGCTTACATCCGCTGCTTGGAAAGGATTATGGTAATTCACACCCCACCCCCACAGAACCTACTCTAATCTCTTTAAGTGAATGGAGGGTGTGGAGTTCTGCCTTAGTGATTGCCAGTGTTTGGTTTTATTTGGAATTCTTATTCCTGACGGTTTGTCTTCCATTTTAGAAATGAGTGGCGGCTTGGCTCCAAGTAAGAGCACGGTTTATGTATCCAACTTGCCCTTCTCCCTGACAAACAATGATTTATATCGGGTAAGTTTTACTATCAGTACATCTAACTAATGAATTTCTCTTTAAGAGGGAAACTGTAGCTTAAGCAAATTACTGCTCCCTAGGAAAATTCTTAGTTTATATCTCCTATAAATTTTGGTGAAAATTAGAAATTTTTAATTTCCATAGAGTATTTACACTGCTTTTTGTTCTGTTTTTTCTTTTCTTTTCTTTTTTTCTTTTTTTTTTCCCCCCCGAGACAAGGTTTCTCTGTGTATAGCCCTGGCTGTCCTGGAACTCATTCTGTAGACCAGGCTGGCCTTAAAGTCTCAGAGATCAGCCTGCCTCTGCCTCCCGAGTGCTGGGATTAAAGGCATGCTGCACCATCACCATCACCACCACCACCACCACCACCTGACACATGTTATTTTCTTTATATAAAAGCAGTAATTGCCGGGCGGTGGTGGCGCACACCTTTAATCCCAGCACTCGGGAGGCAGAGCCAGGCGGATCTCTGTGAGTTCGAGGCCAGCCTGGGCTACCAAGTGAGTTCTAGGAAAGGCGCCAAAACTACACCGAGAAACCCTGTCTTGAAAAAACCAAAAAAAAAAAAAAAAAAAAAAAAAAGCAGTAGTGGCCCGCGCCTTTACACCCAGCACTCTGGAGACAGAGGCAGGCCAATCTCTGAGTTCATGGCCAGCATGTTCTACAGAGCAAGTTCCAGGACAGCCAGGGCTATGCACAGAGAAACCCTGTCTCGAAAAACCAAAGAAAATAATATGTGATTTAGAAACAGCTAGATGATGATGTGTGGCTATGATCCTAACACTCTGAAAGCTGAGGCAGGAGGATTATGAGTTAAAAGCTAGCTGAAACTATAGCAGTATACTATCTCAAACAAAAAACAAGCTCAACCACTTGCCTAGCCTAATTGCACATTCCTGTAATCCCAGCACATTGGAAGCTGAGGCAGGAGGCCAGACTGGGCAATTTAGACCCTGTCTCACAAAAGAGAAAAGGTAAAGAGGGATACTAAATTAGGCTTGGAGGTGAAATTTTATAGACTGTGTGGTAAGAAATAACCTTAGCTAAAAGGTAACTGGGGGCTGGTGGTTGCTATAATGCTTGCTCTGCATGCACAAAGCTGTATACACCACATAAACTAGGCATTGATGGTGTATATGCCTATGATTCTAGTATTTGGAAGGTAAAGGCTGAATATTGGAAATTCAAGGTCATCCTCAGATACATGGGAACTTTGAGGCAAGCTTTGGATGCATGAGACCCTGTCACAAACAAACAAACAAACAAACAAAAGGTGACTTTTGAATAAAAATGTGAAGCAGGGGCTGGAGAGATGGCTCAGAGGTTAAGAGCACTGGCTGCTCTTCCAGAGGTCCTGAGTTCAATTCCCGCACTCACAGGCTGGCTCACAACCATCCATAATGGGATGTGATTCCCCCATTCTGGCCTGAAGGTGACATGGAGGCAGAACACTGTATATATAATAAATAAATCTTTTTTAAAAAAAAAAATGTGAGGGCTGGAGAGATGGCTCAGAGGTTAAGAGCACTGGCTGCTGTTCATCCCGAGGTCCTGAGTTCAATTCCCAGCAACCACATGGTGGCTCACAACCATCTGTAATTTGATCTAGTGCCCTCTTCTGGTGTGTAGGCAGAATACTGTATACGAAATAAATAAATAAATAAATAAATAAATAAATAAATAAATAAATAAATAAATAAATAAATCTTAAAAAAAAAAATGTGAAGCAATAAAAGGCAGTTGTCCAGATGTCTAGAGCACAAGCATTTCCAAAGAGGAAGGGTAATATAAGTAAACTCACGCTCCCCTTTGTTTACAGGCCTGATCGAGGCAATCACTGTAGCCTCACTTGGAAATGAGAACCCATTAGAAAGTTTTAATTCCATAGGAAACTTCTGGGCCTTGGAATCTAATATTGCTAACACTATGACCCAGAACTCAGCATTTCATTATGAAACTGCATGTGATAAGATCTTCTAAAAGCCCTTTCTTAGGAATATTATTTTGAAGCATTAAGTAATAGGTCAGAACTATATATATCTAGATATTTGCTGAAACTATAGAAATGGATAAGTTTGTTAGGATGTATGTAGAAGTACAAGGGGAGAAAAGGCCAGCTATAAAGTCCCACCATTATACTAAGGATGGGTCAAGGACTACACCTCTAGAAATAAAAAGATTTTTGTTTTTGATCTTTGCCAGCAGGGTCTTGCTTTGTAGCCAGGGCTTGTCTCAAACTCATGGTCTTCTCAATCTGCTAGGATTATAGCCATTTATCAACACTCCTGGCTGGAGATGCTTTTTTTATTATAGGAAGCTTTTGGTAATGTATGCAGTTCAGAGTCATCTGTCTTGAAGCAGTTGATTGTTTAAGTCTTTGTTGTTGTGACATCCGTAGCACAGGTTAGCTGGAGCTCTGGCAGGGTTGATGGTCCCAGAGATAGGTCAGGAATTCAGCCACTCCCTAGTGTATGTGCCATAGACAACTCTAAGGACATGCTGATGTTCTTTCTCTCTGTCCACTCCCTAGAGGGAGTTTAGAAACTCAAGCAGATTACCTTTAACTCCAGGAACTACATTATTCTAGTCACTTAGAAAATGTGTGGTTTGTTGATTCAGGTTTTTGCTGTGTTGCCCAAGGTGGCCCCTAAGTCATGATCCTCCTTCTCAGTCCCCTAGGTGTAGGAATATTTCTTGTTGTTGTTCTATATAATAAAGCCTGTTGTATAGACTAAAGGCTGAATTTTTTCATAAAAATATAACAAAGAATCTGGTTAGTGTATACAATCAGAATATCTAATTTTGGTAAATAATTTAAATTATAAATTATTCTGTGATCTTTTGTTTCAGATATTTTCCAAGTATGGCAAAGTTGTGAAGTAAGTATTTACATTACAAGATACTTAGTTAAATAAAAATACTACTGTTAACATTTTTACGTAAAGTTCAATTATTTTCCCATGTACATAAGTACCTGATAGTTTTCATATCATACATAAATGACTATTATTATAAAGATGTAATAGTTTAATAGTATTGCTTCGATAGTGCTGAGAACTGATCTCAGGGCCTCAGACTTACTAAGACCATTCCTAACCTCTGAGCTACATATCTAGCTCCTGAAGGTTGTCAGAGCTCATTCTTGTGCAGTGTGGAGATTAGCTGGAAATGCCTAGGGAGAAGTTACATTGGAATAACATTGTCTCTGTGCTCAAGGTGGTATCAGGCCACTGTTGAAATGGTGTAGATATCTCTACAGCCAACCCTTTGGACTGGCTGTAGACCTGTCCCCCACCCCATGAATTGACACTTGAAACATTCATAACCTCTGTTGATCTGTGTATAATGGGCTGTCCCCCAGACTACTTAGACACCAACACTGAACCCAGTCATAATTCCTGACTAAGAAGTGATGTGATTTCAAGCCCATGTGTAGTTTTATTTTTTTATTTTTATTTATTTATTTATTTAGATTTTTTGAGACAGGGTTTCTCTGTGTAGCTTTGGAGTCTTTCCTGGAACTCACTCTAGCCCGGGCTGGCCTCGAACTCACAGAGATCCACATGCCTCTGCCTCCTGAGTGCTGGGATTAAAGGTGTGTGCCACCACCTCCCAGCCCCATATGTAGTTTTAAAGCAGTAACTACAGCAGCATTTTAGAACTCCTTGGAGCACTTCAGCAGGACTACTTGAATCTGTTTTACTGGGCTACAATCCTCATTAGCTCCAAGTTGATTTAATTCCCTCTGTTGTAGACCAGTTTGATGTTATTCTCAGCCAGTAGGGGAATGAGAACAAATTGAGTTAGCTAGGCTAAAATCTATAACTACACCACAGAAGAAACTTGGAACAAGATGGTCACAATAGAAAGGCTGTCTGTTCATCCTTGAAAGACCATTTGGGAGTTAAGTCAGTTATGCTTGGTGTAAATAAGGACTGGATGCGGAAGGAGGATGTGTTGGGGTGGCCTCTTGTTTTCAGGACAGTGTCTGCTTCGCAGTGTATGCTAGAATGATACCTCATACCTACCCTACATCTGAAAACAGTGCTACTCTACCTCTTTCTGCATGCCAAGAACACGAGGTCATTACGGATTTGGTTGGTTTGTTTTTAAGTCCTTGCTGTGATACTATTTTTCTGTTACTAGAGATCTATAAGTATGCTCCCTATTGTAACTGGTTTACAGTGCCTCCGTCACTAAACTTTCCCTTTCCTAGGGGTGCGTGGCTTCTCTCTTTTTTCTCTAGTGTTCATTGCCCAAGCCTGAATATAATAGTGGCTGATTGTCCAAATGAATAACCATGTAGGTGTGCTCTTGTAGAAAATTTTGTATGTGTGTGGTTTTGTTCAGTGCACGATACACAGGTGACATTGTAGCATAAAAAGACTTCACATTAGATGAGTTGAGGCATTACCTATATTAAATAGATAAATGAAGGAGAATATACTTAGAAAGGAGAAGGAATTTCCACGGAATGTATTAGACAGATACAGAATCTTAACCCTTGTAAATAAGGCCAGTTTTTAAAAGCAAGGATTGGGAGGTGGAAGCAGATAGGAAACATGTCAGTCGACTCCCACCGGAGAGGCTCTGGCCCTGCTGCATGACCCCAGTGCCTCCCTCACTGTTTCAGAGGAGAAGAGCAGTGACAGAGGGGTGGGAGCCCAGACTAGGGAATTCCAGAAAAAGCACCAGGGATGGAGCCACCTGCGGTGGGCTGCTGTAACGCCAGTTGTTCAGAAGGCTGAGGCGTGGAAATCCAGCCTTCAGAGCCCGACTCACACAAGGAGACTCTTGTCTCAAAAGATGGTTCGACTAGTGTTGAAACCCTCACTTAAATCCCATGATAGCCTACCAGAGCCACTGTGCCCAGTTTACATAAAAAATTGTGTTTACCCTAACAAATTAAGAAATAATTTTCTTTTTTAAATAATTCATTATACTTTATTTTATGTGCATTGGTGTGAAGGTGTCAGATCCCCTGGAACTGGAGTTACAGACAGTTGTGAGCTGCCATACGGGTGCTGGGAATTGAACCCAGGTCCTCTGGAAGAGCATCCATGCTCTTAACCGCTGAGCCATCTCTCCAGCCCCCCAAAATAATTATTTGTTTTGGATTGCTGAATCCCAGCTTATAACTAGTAACAGGTCAGTGCTGACAACCCCCAGTTGTTTGAGATGGTGTATTTTAAATTGTTGTTACCCAGTGTGTGTGCCTGTCTCTGGAGGCCAAGGGTTGATGTTGACGATTTCCTTGATTGCTCCAGCTTTTAAAGAAAGTTTTATTACTGGGACTGGAGCTCACTGGTTCTGCTGCCTGACCAGTAAGCTGCAGGGACCCACCTGTCCACCTGTCTCCTCCCCCAACACACACACAGTGAGGCCATGGAGGTGCACCCAGAAGCCCTGCTTTTCCGTGGGTACTGGGGATCCTCACTAAACTTGGGTCCTTGTGCTTCCATAGCAAGGATTTTCCTGACTGAGCGCTCGCGCTCTCTCTCTCTCTCTCTCTCTCTCTCTCTCTCTCTCTCTCTCTCTCTCTCTCTCTCTCTCCTCTCTCGCTCTCGCTCTCGCTCTCGCTCTCGCTCTCGCTCTCGCTCTCTCTCTCCTCTCGCTCTCTCTCTCCTCTCGCTCTCTCTCTCCTCTCGCTCTCTCTCTCTCTCTCTCTCTCTCTCTCTCTCTCTCTCTGGCTTTGGCTGGCTCTTGATAAAGCCAATGACTTGAGACACTAACAGAAGAAGACTCCATTCATTAACCAAAGCATGGAGAAGTAAGAGCCTTGTCTGAACTCTAGGGAGTAGACTGGTTATAGACACAGACTGCATTGCTGAACAAAAGGGAAGGGGAACTCTGGTGCCACCTCTCTCTCCCATTTTATAATCTGGGGTTTTCAGGCACAGTAAAGAGTAGCCTAGGAAAGGGTAGAGAAGAGACAGAGACACTTGGAAGACAGATTTGGTCCAGCCTTTCCATCCTGTTTAATGGCCTGTCAACTGCAAGACCAAGTCGAGAGTTAATATTTTCTGGAAGTGTGTCCTTCAGGCATCTGAAAAGTAACCTAGGCAACTGTCACCATCACCTCATCAGCAGAGATGCAGTCTGCATAGAAGCTGTTGGGAGACAGATAATTTATTGTCTCACTATCCAGAGTTAGGGGTTTTAGAGTCAGCTAAGAGTGCCTGCAGCTAGGTTTAACCTTAGTAATAAGAACAAAGTATCGAGTGAAAATAACAAATCCACCTCCCCCTGCCTTGTGTGTGCACACCCCTGGCATATGCACATAGAGAAGACAGGAGGACCTCGGGTGTCCCACATCTACCACTCTCCGCCTTACTCCCTCAAGACAGGGCCTTTCACTAAACCTGAAGTTAACGGTTTTCGCTAGGCTTGCCTGTGACCTCCCAAGATACACCACTTTCTGCCCGCCAAGACTGAGGGTAAGGGCAAGTGCAGCCATGCTCAGCTTTTATGTGAGTGCTGGAAATTCAAACACATGTTTGTACAACAAAGCACTGTTACCTGCTGAGAAGATTCCTTTATCCACATGTACCTGTCCTTAGCGTTTCCACTTGCTCTGTAGCTTGCACTCTCTTGACTGTGTGAATGTATACATGTATGGATGCACATTGTTTTTAAGTTAGAAGAGCTAGTTGAGACAAGCCTAAGCTGAAGGCCAAGCTTTCATAATTAAGAAGTTTCCTTGTCAGTATTTGTGATCTGGTAGCCAACAAAAGGCTTGCTACAGTCTCAGGCTAGAGAAGTAGCTCAGCCATTAGGAACACTGAGTCTCTTCCAGATTACCCAGGTTTGATTCCCAGCACCCACTTGGCAGCTAACAATTGGCTGCAATTCCAGGTTCCGGGGTACCTGGCACTCAGGCACTACACACACATGGGACACAGACATACATGCAGGCCAAATACCCATGCACATAAAATAAAAATTGCAAGTAAATAAATAAGACAGGGTCTCGCTGCATACCTCAAGCTAGCCTTCAGCTTGGTACAGTCTTCCTGCCTTAGCCTCCTGAATGTTGGCATTCTAAGCACATGCCACCACAGCAGATTCAAGCAGTGTTCTTCTAAATTACACTAACTGGCATGTGGTTAGCAATCCCTGTAACCTGGGGGCACTGAGGAAGGGCTAAGGACCACTAATGTGAGACTCTGAAATAGAGACCCTTGGATCTAAAACTTGAGAAAAACAGTAAATCATTTTGCTCTTTGTATACAGGAGAATACCTCAGCTTGTGTTTTGGGTTTTTCAAGGGAAGAGTTAGTAGGAAGAAGATAGGCATTTTGATAGGCAGTTGGCAATGATGTAACAGTTGCAGCAGCCTCTCTTCACGTGACCCCTTCAAGCTCTAGCTCCCAGCTCTAGCTGTGCTCTTCTGTAGTCTGTGTCATTCTCTCATTTCCATTCTCCTTGATCCCTCCTGACTTTGAAGAGCGGGATGGTTTAAATCATTCTTTACAAAGATCTCCTAGCCTAGGCTAGCCTCAAGCTCTCTAGATGAGAATGACCCTGGACTCCTGCTCCTTCATCTACTGAGTACTGGGATCACAAGAATCTACCACTAAGCATGATTTTTTTCTCTTTTCAGATGTTTCATTATTTAATGTTATAAAAATAGTCGTGAGTTTCCTGAGTATTACAAGTTTGTGTCCTATTTTTAACTGGTCCTTTGTGCTTTAAGGGTTACTATAATGAAAGACAAAGACACACGGAGGAGTAAAGGTGTTGCATTTATTTTGTTTTTGGATAAAGACTCTGCCTTAAACTGCACCAGAGCGATAAATAACAAACAGGTAAGCCATTCATTTCACCAAGATTGTAACCCGAAAGTCTGTTCATCTAAACCAAAAGCTATGTGTGGGGCTGCAGGAGATCATCACGTCTGTTTAATAGCTGTAATTCACAAGTGGCTACCTTTGGGGAACAGATGTCAGCATTGTATTGGGTTATCAGAACATTGAAAGAATCTTAAGAAAAAAGTACGACATAGAGTCTATCACATATTTATTACAACAAGAATTGAGATGGTGTCTGGTAACTAGGGCATGGTGAACTACATCCTTTGTGTTTACATTTTTCTCTGATTTAGTTATTCGGTAGAGTGATAAAGGCAAGCATCGCTATTGACAATGGAAGAGCAGCTGAGTTCATCCGAAGGCGAAACTACTTCGATAAATCTAAGTGTTATGAATGTGGGGTGAGTAAACGTAAAACTCGGTAACTTCTGTAGTAGAAAGTGTTCCTCATATTAGTCTTTTAGTGGTGCCCAAAGTGTGTGTGTGTGTCGGGGGGGTGACATAGGGCTCCAATGTCCCGCCTGCTCTACACTCATTCCCTTTTAGCAAGAGTCTCTGAACTTGGGCTAAGCTGGTGACTTGCAAACTGCAGCAGTCTCATGTCTACACACAGAACGCTGAGGTTACAGGCACACATAGAGCCGTGCCTCCTCACTCTTTTTTTAATGTGAGGTTTGGGCATGTGAACTGTGGTCTTCATTCTGTGCACCAAAGCACTCTCACCTGCCATGTCATCTCCTCATCTCACCATAATTTCGCTTTTGTTGAGATTGTTTTCAGTTTGTTTGAGATAGGTCTTATGTAGCACAGGCTGACTCAGACTCACCATGTAGCAGATGATCACCTTGAATTTAAGATCCTCTTGCCTCCAGCTCCTGAGTGCTGGGATTACAGGTGTGTTTCACCGCTTCTAGTTTATGAGTTACTGAAGATCACAGCCAAGGCTTTGTGCCTGCTAGACAGGCACTCTTCCGTCCCCAGCTCCTCACCAAAATCTGTCTGGCTAAAACCAGGTTATGAAAGCGACTTTACTTGAAGACTGTAAACTCATCTGAGTAAACATCATTGAAATGTGTATTCAGGGGCCAGGAAGATGACTCAGTGGGTAAAGGTGTTTGCCATGCAAGCCTAATGACCTGAGTTCAATCCTTGGAACCCACATAAAGGTGGAAGAAAACCTAATCCACAAAGGTGTGTAGTTGGTTGTTTTAACTCTGATTCCTTTGGGGTCCTACCACCTAGCTCCCAAATAAATACACAGAGACTTAATTCTTTTTTTATGGATGCTCAGCCTTAGCTTGGCTTGTTTCTAGCCAGCGTTTCTTAACTTAAATTACTCCATCTACCTTATGCCTCTGGGCTTTTACCTTTCTCCTACTTCTGTATATCTTACTTTCACTCTTACTCCATGGCTGGCTTGGTGGCTGGCCCCTGATGTCCTCTTCCTTCTCTAGCTGCTTCTTTTCTCCTCCCAGATTTCTCCCTCTATATATTCTCTCTGCCAGTCTTTGGAAGCCTCAAAGCCCGCCTATATGGCACAGCTCCAATAAGGCCACACCTTCTAATCCTTTCCAAACAGTTCCACCGGTTGGGGTCAAGTATTCAAATACATGAGCCTGTGTTGGCCATTCTCATTCAAACAATCTCACCTCCTCTCTCCAGCTGCCACTCCCTACCACTGTTGGCCAAGAAAAGATAATATTGTAGACCGGTAGGTAGATAACAAGAACGGAAGTAAATATGGCATGAGCACATGCTAATTCAGTCAGTTCATATTGTTAAGTCCTGTTAAAAGATTCTTTTGAAAGTAGTCTAAAGTCTGAAGTTGTGTTTGTAAAAAGAACAGTGCCGGCTGAGCATAGCAGCACAAGCCTATAGTCAGTCCCAGCAGTCAGGAGGCTCAGGCAGAAGACCTCAGGCTCAGGGTTATCCTGAGCTACATGGTGAATTCTTGGTTAGCCTAGGCCAGACTCTCTCTCCATTAATTAGGTCTGTTTGTTTAAGAATTTCCTTACTCTCCATGTTTATACCTAATACAGATCATCTGAGAAATGCTAAATAAGGTGCGAATCAAATATTCCTTTTGATTTATAGGTTTAGACAGTTTTTTGGGTTTTTTTTTTTGTTGTTGTTGTTGTTGTTGTTGTTGTTGTTGTTGTTGTTTTGGTTTTTCGAGACAGGGTTTCTCTGTGTAGTTTTGCGCCTTTCCTGGAACTCACTTTGTAGACCAGGCTGGCCTCGAACTCACAGAGATCCGCCTGGCTCTGCCTCCCGAGTGCTGGGATTAAAGGTGTGCGCCACCACCGCCCAGCAACGGATTGTTATTGTCATGCTTTGTACATTCTCGTTATTTATTGTTTGGGGTCTTTTGTTTATTTACTTCGTCTCATTATGTAAACTTAGCTGACCTAGAATTCACTGGGAGACCAGGCTGGCCTCAAACTCAGATCTGCCTGCCGGTGTCTCCCAAGTGCTAGGATCAAAGTTGTGTGCCACACACCAGGGTCAGTACTTTTTATTTTAAAGACAGTGCCTCGAACACAGGCGAGTCTTAAACTTGTTATATGCAGAAGATGGCGTTAAAGCTCTTAGCCTCTTCCACTTGCAGCGTATGGGGATTCCAGCCGTGAGCCACCACCCTTGCTTTGCATGTTGCAGGGGAGTCAAACCCAGTGCTTTGTGCATGCTAGGGCAGGCGCTGCGGCAACTCAACTACAGCGCACACCCACTCTGTACAGTTTTATAGTTAATTCCCCCCAGAAAACAAAGTCTGTTTTTTAAGATTTATTTCTTTATTATGTATACAGTATTCTGCCTGCATGTACACCTGCAGGCCAGAAGAGGGCACCAGATCTCATTACAGATGGTTGTGAGCTGCCATGTGGGTGCTGGGAATGGAACTCCGGACCTCTAGAAGAGCAGTCAGTGTACCTAACCTCTGAGCTATCTCTTCAGCCCACCTCCATTTGTTTTTAAAGCTGAATATTCGACAATATCTTTCAGGTTAACAGAAATAATTTTATCCCCATTTATCAAGCTCATCTAAAACTTTTATTCGAGTTGATGATCCATTTAAATTTAGAATTCTTTTGTATGGTGAAAATTGAGATTTAAAATGCTTTGAGGAGCCGGGTGCACACCTTTAATCCCAGCATTCGGGAAGCAAAGGCAGGCGGATCTCTGTGAGTTCGAGGCCAGCCTGGTCTACAGAGGGAGATCCAGGACAGGCACCAAAACTACACAGAGAAACCCTGTCTCAAAAAAACAGAAAACTTTGAGGAAAGAATGCAGCTCCACTCCCTAGTTATCACTGCAGATGCTGGTAGTTAGAGTGTCACACACTCTGCCTCCTCTATTGGGAAGGCATGCATTCGGTCCTGTGCTCCCACAATGAGGATACCGTTTGCGGGATTCTAGCCTTTCAGTCACAGGGCCAGCACAGGTTTCTATCGTAACAGCAGCTATAGTCTCTTTCTTTCTTTCTTTTTGAATGTGAAACAAAAGGAAAGTGGACACCTAAGTTATGCCTGTCCTAAAAACATGCTTGGAGAACGTGAGCCTCCAAAGAAGAAGGAGAAGAAGAAGAAGAAGAAAGTCCCTGAACCAGAAGAGGAGGTGTATGTATAGTGTGCTCACTAAGATGATGTGTTGTTGGCCTTTTTAGTGGCAGCTGACTGCATCTCAGTTCTTTCTCTTTGCTGACCCAGTGAAGAAGTAGAAGTGAGTGAAGAAGAAGGGGAGGATCCAGCTCTGGACAGTCTCAGTCAAGCCATAGCATTCCAGGTACTGATGTTCCCAAGGGACTGGTGGCTGGGGACTTAGCTCAGTGACGCACCACGTGCTGGGCAGGGCAGAGGAAGTGGAGATGGTTGACAGTGTGCAGTTTAGTGTCCCATTGATTTGCTTAACTGAGTGAAGCGACAGCCTTTGAGCCTGCCTGCCTGGGAAACCTTGTCTCAGAAAAAGGGGCAATGCAGTAGGCATGGTGGTCCATGCCTGTGAACTCAGAAAAAGGGAGAATGTAGTAGGCATTCGTAGGTCCATGCCTGTGAACTCAGAAAAAGGGAGAATGTAGTAGGCATTTGTAGGTCCATGCCTGTGAAATTGGCACTCAGCAAGGTAAAGCAGGAAGATGGGTTTGAACCTGGCCTGGACTACAGAGTAAAATCCTGTTTTAAAAATTGAATAAAATAATACAGAAATGTGTAAGTAATACAGGGCACTGTGGTGTACTTCACGTTATAGTTTATATTCTTATATCACTGTATTGATCACCTTATGATGGCAATTTCTGTGTTTCCCTTTCACCTTATAAATTTGAGGTAACACATTATTCTCAGAGCTTATCTGAATGAAACATTCTCATTCATTCTTTCTAGACTGTAAGGTCCCATGTACTTTTAGCATATTATTAATCTGTCTTCATTACAAAATTGGGTGGAAGTATCGGATCACCTCAGTGGTTCTCAGCCTTCCTAACACTGCAACCCTTTAATACAGTTCCTCATGTATTACCTCCCCAATCATAAAATTATTTCATTGCTACTTTGTAACTATAATTTTACTACTGTTATGAATCATAATGTAAATATATGATATGCAGGACAGGATATCTGATATGTGACCTCCAAGGGGGTCACAACCCACAGGTTGAGAATCAGTGGATTAGCTGGATGTGTTACCACATCTGTAATCCCAGCACATGTGAAGTAGAGACAGGATCAGGAATTCGAGACCAGTCTGGGTAAAATTATTGTTTCAATTAAAACAGCAGTTTGATTTAAAATGTCTTTAGCCTATCTAGAAAGTCTTTAGAAATTGAGGATGGAGCTAATCATCATATTACACACTGTGTTCTCACCTGAGAAGCTTGAGGTAGGAGATCATGAGTTCAGGGCCAGCCTGAGCTACATAATAAGCCCCTGTGTCAAAACAAACTGGAAAACAAAAATGGCTAGAGGTTCAGGGATTCAGTTTAGTTGCTAGCATGCACAATGCTCTGGGTTCTATCCAAGCACTGCACAATCCTGGGCAGCCCCAGCATTATGGAAGGAGGGACAGAAGGCTAAGAAGTTCCAGGTCATCCTTCTATCATAGGAAGTAAAATGCTTATCTCTCAGGGGATGTGGGGGTGCAGGGAACTTCCCTAGGATAATTTTGAGTAGGGCCATGATGGGGACCAGTTTGTCAGTATGACCTAGGAAGGTGGAAATTATTCGTGTTCTGGTTTTTCCATAGTAAATCCTTTGAAATTAACATGATGTGCCATAAATAACTGGTTTTGTTCTGCTTTCAAATCTATTACAGCAAGCCAAAATTGAAGAGGAACAAAACAAATGGAGACCCAGTCCAGGGGGTCCCTCAACCTCAGATGATTCTAGACGACCAAGGATAAAGAAAAGTGCATATTTCAGTGATGAAGAAGAACTTAGTGATTAAAATTGTATTTATTTTGTAAATATTATTCAAATAAAATCTTACTGTATAAAATGCAGCTGTGGACTAGAGATTGTTTTTACTATTTGAGTATGTAAGAACACTTAAATCCAAATAGTTATTTACTATAATGTAGTTCAAATAATTTTTAAATACCATGTTTCTAGCTTGCCTTAGTGTGGTGGCCCACAGAGGGTGGGTTCCTAGTGAGAACTTACTCAAGGTCAGAGAATCTGGGCTTGCTTTACCCAGCAGGGCTGCATAAGGGGATGATTTGTCCAGGGGCGTGGTTACCGGGTGTTTGGAAGGGTCTCCACTTGGTTGTATGTTGTGCTTTGATCTTGATAGAGGGAAGTCTTTTGCCTCTCCCTTGGCATATTATAAAAAGCCCTTTTGAATAAAACTCTGGGTGACTGGGTATGGACCCAGAGCCCTCCTGAAGCTATCCTGTGTCTCTGTCTTTCTTATTGTTTCTGTCTTTCTACCTAATATTTCCTTATTCTTCTCTCCTCCACCCAAGAACCCGTCAGAGCTTGGAAAGCTTGGTCAGAGCTGGACTCCAGCAGACTCCCACACCTTAGCACAAGGTTAATATTAAATCTGAAAATCCAGTATCTAAAATGTTCCAAACTTTGAGCACCAACATGTCTCATGTAGGAATATGAAATTAATTTCACAAACAACATTGTTATAAATAATGTATAAAACTGCTCTCAGACCATAGTGCATATAAGACATAAGTGAATTTTGTGTTTAGACTTGGTTCTTATCCAAGTATCTCTTTATGTGTATGTAGTTATACCAGAATCTGAACTACTATAGTCCAAAGCATTTCACATATGGAAACTCGATCAGTATTAAAATCAGAATTCGTTAATATAAATAATATTAAAAATACTACCAACTGTCAGAAGTGGAAGTGTAGATAGCCAAATACTTTCAGAACTTAATGTAAAACTGTTTGTGCCTGGCTGGCTTATTAAGGACTTGTGGAAAAACAATTTAACCTCTTAATTTTTTGCCTGCATGTGTGTTTCTGTGCAGCATACGCATGCAGTGCCCCTGGAGGCCGGAAGAAGGGCATTCAGTCTCCTGGACTGAAGTTACTGGTGGCTGCGAGGCACCGTGTGGGTGCTGGGAACCAAACCCAGCCAGTGCTCTTAACCACAGAACCATCTCGCCAACCCCTCAGATTTAAACAAAACCTTCATAAAGACCAAATAAATGATTGGTTGTTGATACTAAACTTTTTAAAGAGAATTCTATCTTTAAAGATGAGCGCTTTATCTCAATTTGAAATAAAGCTCTGCATGGGGACACAGTGAGAGGGCAACCTGGGTCACATACTGAGTCCTTTTCTTGACATAACACAGTGAGATAGTAAATTTGCTCCAAAAGTCTTAAAACTAAACAGTCATTTGCTGACTTGACTGCTCCCTAGAAGTAAGCACTTATTACCCATCTCTTTTCATGGGTCTGTCTGTCTTTGCCCCCCATAAAAGGATAGAGACAATGTTTTGTTTTTTTCTGTTTTTCTCCCAGCTTTTCATCTCCACATTGTTTTTGGTTACATTTTGTTAAATATTTATTGTGTTTGGAAGAGGAAGGATTATAAAGATGTAAACTTTGTTCATGTTATGTATTATATTTCTTTGTATTTATGGCTAAATCTTTCCATATCCTTTATATTTAGCATTATGAAAATGATATTGTAGAGTCTAACTTTGTATTTAAATTTCTATAGTTGACTCTGAGAATTCCCACTTTTTCATACTAAAAGCTGTAAAACTATGAAGGCAATGAAAGTGTTAGCCATTCCACTAGCAAGAATATTAAAGCTGTCAAAGCCAGATGTGAGTACACACCTGGAATCCCAGCAGTTAGGAGACTGATGCAGGACTATGAGTTCAAGCCCAGCGTGGGCTACATAGTGAGAATGCTTCAAAACAAAATTATCTTCCAAATCTCAAGTGAATGGGGCAGAAGGATGGGGTACATTACATTCAGCTCACTCATTTAATATGCTGTAAAAACTGAAAGCACTGGGGGTTGAGGCAGGAGGATCAAAAGTCTAATGTCAGCTGAGCTACATGAGGTCTTACTAAAAGCAATTAAAAATACGAACAAAAATGTTTCTCATAATTTAGGATCAAATATGTTCTATTCTTTGAACATAAATTTGCTCTATTTTATTCTAGCACGCTAATCAGAAATGCAGGGGTGTAGTCAAACACGACCGTGCACACCTGTTGTCTCGGCACTCGGGAGGCTAAGGCAGGATGATACAGAATTTGAGGCCAGGACTTAAAGGCATGGCTTAGCAGCTTAAGTCTCTTGCTATTCTTTCGGAGGTCCTGGGTTCAGTTCCCAGCACCCACATGGCAGCTCACAACCATCTGGTACTCCTGTTCCAAAGTATCCGGTGACACCTTCTGGTCTTTGCAGACACCAGGTACATTCATACATAATAAATTCCAGGCCAACCTAGATTACATAGTCGAGACCTGCCTCAAAAAATTATTTTTGACAGGCAAACCTACATGTCTGGCCACATTCCCACTTAGACCTGTGAACCTTGGACAGGGTATGTAACCTGAGTTAACTGAAAAACAGTAGAACTGAAAATGAGAAGTATTTTTTATGACCTTGTTTTTCTCTCCCTCTCCTCTCCTGTCCCTCCCCCTATATCCCCCTCTCCAGTTCCCTCTCTCCCACTCTCTTTCTCTCCCCTCCCTTTATCCCTCCCTCTTCTCTCCTTTCTTCCCCTACCCCCCATACAGAATGTTAGCAATTTAGAATGCTTGCTGCTCTCACAGAGTACCCAAGTTCTGTTCCTAGGACCCATGTTAGTGTACTCTCAACCACCTGTAATTCCAGCTCCAGGGAAATCTAACCTCTGGCCATCGTGAAATTATGTGTAAAATATACACATAATTTTAAAATAAAATAAATAAAACCTCTTTAAAAAGTAAAAGAATGGCTGGGCGGTAGTGGCACATGTCTTTGATCCCATCACTCGGGAGGCAGAGGCAAGTGGATCTCTGTGAGTTCGAGGCCAGCCTGGGATACAGAGTGAGTTCCAGGACAGGCTCCAAAGCTACACAGAGAAACCCTGTTGAAAAACCAAAAATAAATAAATAAAGTAAAAGAACAAATAAAAGAAATTGGAAGTTTTATCTACGTGATACTAAAAATTCAACATATTGGGCTGGAGAGATGGCTCAGAGGCTAAGAGCACCGACTGCTCTTCCAGAGATCCTGAGTTCAATTCCCAGCACTCACATAGTGGCTCACAACCATCTGTAATGAGATCTGGCATCCTCTTCTGTATGCATAATAAATAATAATAATAAATAAATCTTTAAAAAAATCAACATATCAAGGCTGGAGAGGTTAAGAGCACTGGCTTCTCTTTCAGAGGTTCTGAGTTCAATTCCCAGCAACCACATGGTGCCCTCGTCTGGTGTACAGACATACCTGCAGGAAGAACACTGTATACAATAAATAAATCTTCAAAAAAAAAATCAGTATATCAAAAAGTGCATACCATAGCCAACTCACTGCTTTAGAACTAATTTATAGACTTAATCACTTGTATCAGGAAAAAAATAAAAGCTAAATGTTCTACCTCAAGAAGCATAAATAAAAGCATTACCCAAAACAAGCAGAAACCAAGGGAACAGCGTTCAAGATGGAAATCAATGAAACAGAAATCAGAAAATGAGTTAGAAAAATCAATTAAATAAAAAGTTGGCTTACTGTATCAATAAAACTGGTGGATGGATGGACAGACAGAATATGAAATCAAAGACATCACTAACCTTACAGTAACAAGTTGTTGGGATTACCACAGCCAACACTGTTCCAGTAAGAAGAATAAAATGGAGTGAGCAAGTGTCATGGAAGGCACAAACTAACTTAAGAGAAAGAATTGCCCATGTGCATTTCTGTTACAACTATAACAAACTACCTCAAATTTAGTGATTTAAACAATATGAACATAGCAGATTTCAGTCGTAAGGTTGGAAGTCCAGTCTCCTGAAAGGTTTGGCATTCCACTAGGGTGGGCAGAACTGCATTGCCCTGGTAGGCTGCAGGACCCATGTTTCCTTGCCTCCAGCTTCTGGGGAACGGGGTGTCTGCATTCCTTGGCTCATAAACACCTCCAGCTACAGAGCAAGCCAAGGCAGGCCACACCACTCTGACTATGCTCCATCTTTCGTTTGCCAGGATCTCCTGAATAGTTCAGGATATTCTTTCATTCAAAGTCCTTGATTTAATTAACATCTGCCAAATCTCTTGCTAGATAGAGGAACATTTGTGGTCTCTAGAAAGTAGGACATGAACCTCTGTAGGAGGTCATTATTTTCCCGACCACATCTTACAACATGAACTAACATTTTCAAAACCTAGGGCTCAGCTTGTACCTCAGAGGTAAAAGTATATGTTCGGCAGGCACACGGCCCTGCTTTTAGGCCCCTGCACCGAAGAAACAATTTTACTAATTATCTATACACAAAGGAAATGTGTATAGAGGACTTCACTTGAGGATTCTTCCAAACATTTAATAAGAAATAGGGGACTGGAAAGGTTGCTTAGTGTGGTTAGGAGCATTGACTGCTCTTCCAAAGGACCCAGGTTCAATTCCCACCAACCCTCATGGAAGCTTACAACTGTCTAAAACTCCAATTCCAGGGGATCCAACACACTCAGACAGATAGACACGCAGGCAAACCACTAATATACATAAAATAAAAAGAAATATGACCAATCTTCCATGATTATTTCTGGAAATGGAAAAGGAAGGAACACTTGAAGTCATCTATAAGGCTATTAGCATCCTAACACTAATACCAGACAGGGACCATAAGAACGCTACAGGACAAATATGATCCTTTTGAATATAGGCACAAAATACAGACCAAAAACCAAACCTGACTTACAGCAGTATACAAGATTGGTTTGACATTTTCTAAGTAAGTTAGCATGTCATTTTATTAGAGTAAAGGGTTAAACACAAATTTGATAGCAGAAAATAGTATCTAATCACACAGACAC